ATTAAGCTAGGGAGATTTGGAATGGGAAAAAATAACATGAACGACGATATATGGAGTGCCTCTCACTGTTTATTTACATTGTACAAAGTTCGTTTTATTTCTGTTTCTGTGTGTTCGTCCCTATTCGCTCTCCTACTGTGTGCGGTTTTTCTCTCTCCCTAGCATACTCTCCTTCTCGTTTTGTCTCTCATGTGCTCAGTGTTATGTGTTGTTGGGTGTCGTCACAAATCGGTAGCTCAGCTCTTCCAAGGCATGTGCTCCTGGTGACAAGATTTGCCGCGTCGAATTACGCGCGCATGCTTTTGGCGGAATTGACGAGTCACGAGTTTCGGCAAATCGTCACGGAACTCGACCCAAATTACATCAGCCTTAGGACTGGCAAAAAAAAACTCCGTGGCGCCCTCACCGGACGCCACACTCCACAAAAATCAAAAGATTGGTTGACTCACCAGATGATGGCTTGTTGTAGCTTACGTGGGTTTCGGCCAACGGTCACAGTCGATGACCGTTTGGCGGGTTCGATGCACTCGGTGTCGCGTTCGATGACCGTAGAGAAAGCGTCACCCCTTTGATGACGGTGGCAAATGGCGGTTCGGCGTTTCACACGCCGATGCGATGGCGGTTACTATGCCGTGCCGGTTTTGATGACGAGCCGGCGCGTGGATCCTGTCCACGTGGAGGTCCCTCGAGCCTCCTCGGACCGATGTGTTGACGGATCTGTCCGCTTCCGGCCGGTTGGTAAATGCCGGGAAATTCCGTCCGACGGGGAGAAGAATCGCGCTTGGGTGCGCAATTGGTTGCTGCGGAATGTAGGTACAACACTACAACAGAAAGTTGAACACAAGCACGAACGCGGACAAAACAGCACATTTAGAGCACACCAAATTACCTTTTTTTTCTTAGCAACTATCTCCTACCGCACAACTCTAATTCACGCACACTTTAGGTTCTAACTAAACTAAAGAACGAACAGAAAAACTTTAATTAAATTAAGTATCCGACATCACTTTAACATAGCCTACTTTTCGCTACACTAACGGACACGAACAAACGCGCACACTTCTAGATTGGTGGAATGTCACGGACGAAATGGTCGAGCCTGTGAATCCTCAGATTAAGGAAATGTAAGACTCGGACGGACCGGAAGTCCATCTTTTCCCGAAACCCATCGTGTACTTTCGTGAGTCCAAAAACACGAAAGATAACTTGGCCGATAGAAGTGCCGTTGTCTCTTTCCTACCTTATCCATAAATTAAATGGACCCGCCTTAGGAAAGATTTCAGCAAAAATGCTTGTGTCTTCCTACTGCCTACCCTAAGGAATTTAATTCAATAATTTAAACCTATTAAATTATATACAAATTCATGCAAAATTTCTGATCGATACATCCCTTAAGCAAGTTTGTGAATGGTTAAATGCCTGATGTAAGCCAAGCAGACCTTCTATCACCTCTTGAAACATACCACAAATTTTCGGTTTGTACCACTAGTTGTAATTGAAACTTTTAGAAGTCACGCGTCAAACGGGAGCAACACGGAATTAGCAGTCTGGTACGCTTTCAATGACATTTATATAAGGTCTGGGCCAACAGGCAGCTTGCTGGTGTTAGAAGCAAAATGTTGGTAACATTACTGAACATCTGCGAACAGATAGAAATACGTCACTGCCAACATACTGAGAACAGATAGAAATACGTCACTGCCGACAGCTGTTTCGTGTAAAAAGATACACATTGCAATAAAATACGAACACCACTAAACATTTGCACTTTTCACTAACACCAATAAGCCCTTTGGCCCAGACCTTATATAAATGTCATTGGTACGCTTTGGACGTGTATCACATTTACAGGCCGGTTTGAATGTGTGAGTTTAAATTAGAAGATAATTTGTGATGTATTGGTGCCGAAAGCGTGCATTTCTCGCTGTGCACTTTGATATCTGATTGCTGGCAAAGAGAGTAATGGAGAATGAGAACGCAAAACTTCGCTCTCACTCTTTTGTCAGTTGTAAATCTCTCAATTACCGATGGTTGCACCGGCGCGCCTGTCAAAACTTATGAGTTTCCCTGGTTCATTCTGATAGCGTTGTTCTGATGAATAAAGAGTTCATTAATTCAAGTTTGCTAACCAGTAGACTTCATGAATTTTCTCAAGATTTTGACACTGTTTTGTATCAAAAAATGTTTTCGGAAGTGTTTGACGGATATGCTTCATTACACTTCAGTCAAAAGAGTTAGCCTTGTGATAAAAACGAAAATTAGGGGAAATGGATGTAATGTCGGTCTAAATGCTCTTAATTTGGGCCCATACATAAATTCAACAATCGACTAAATTTTCAATAGCGACCAAAAATATCCATTAGTACCGTCCCAATGACGCGTTCATCTAGATAAAATTGATAAATAACAGATTTTTAGCGATGGGCCCAATCTTAGATACATAGGCCAACATTAGAGCCATTTCCCTTAGTTAAGTTTTGCAATTCTTCCTACTTTGGTTAGCGAGAAAAGGGCCATACAAGTTTTGTTTACACAAGATGATAGGCCCTTCAAATGTTACGTTAGGTTTTGATTAATATAGTAATTGAGAATATGTCCCTCGAATTCATGGAGCATTGAAAAATAAAACAAAAAGTAATATGTGGTGGTAAACTATAACGAACCAAGTTTGGTGCACAGGTAAACAAATGAAGCACGCGCGCCTCTGAATATGATTATACTTGTCACACAATATACAAATTCATGCATTGACTGGCATAGACAGCTCTCAATTAATATCTGTGGAAGTGCATATAGAACACCACATTGTGAGCCACTGAAATTGTTTTCAGTCGCCTTTAATATGGAGAACAGGCGCTCGGATGAACTGCGCCCTCCAGAGAGAGGAGCCTCCACTTCCCTGTCAGCATAACACAAACACATACAACCAAAGTCCCACCGTGGTTGATTACCCAACCTTTGCTTTAGTTAGGAGGGAGGTAGGGATAAAAATTACTGAACTAAGGACCACATTGAAGTCTATTTTATGGGACCCGTACAGAAGGCCGAAAATATTCTAAGGTACCACAAAAGGCCGAAAATCGAAAAGACCGAAAACCAAAAAGACCGAAAATTTATCAAAAACCGAATTTGTTGAAAATCGCATCCAAACAATCTGTTAGCCTTTCTGCTCGCACAACTGACTCGGCTCGTTAAATGGTTTGCATTCACAAAAAATGAAGCCAAGATGAAATTAGATATAGAGGTGTTCTCACTTGCTGACTTTTTGGGAAAAACCAGTAAGTGGTAAGCTGCGAGTAAGAGAACGGTAAGGAAATGAGAGATGCGATAGAGGTGAACGGTTTATTTACGCAACATTCTGATTGGGTAGCGAGTTGCACAAGCAGTTGAATGTGTGTTACTACACACTTAGTTTTTTTCTACCGAGCTCGGCTGTGCAAATCTCGGCAAAAAAAGTTTTACTGAGATCTCAGCAAAAGTGACATTTGATTGCTGAGTCTCGGATAATGCTTTGCTGAATCTCATCAAACAAATGAAATCTGAGATCTCAGTAAAACTGTTTTTGCCGAGATTTGCACAGCCGACCTCGGTAGAAAAAACTAAGTGTGTAGAACGTTCAGCAAAACGGACCAAGAGAACTATCGCTGCTAATGACGATTTTCGATTTGAGAATACCTCCCATATTGAATTTCATCTTGAACGAAGTCATCATCGTCATTGCATAGTCAAACATCTGGAAAAATAAAGCTAACTATCACTTTCTCTCCCATTTAGCATCTGAAGCATGTCTGCTCTTACAACTGAGTCACCTCGTTCAATTGTTCGCATTCACACAAAACGAAGCCATCTTGTCATTAAATCGTCGTTAAACACTCAAACAAACATAAAACTAACTTTACCCAAATTTTAAGTTTTTTTTTTCATTACGGAAATCGAATGGCTTTTAAGTAGCTTCAATTACATTTTATTTTGAAGATGCAGAATAAAAATTATTGTAACTTTACTTTAATAATGTAATTTAATTTATTAAAAACAAATTAACAAAAGGCCGAATCGGGAAAGCGACAAAGTGGACCGTCTTTGTGTCCACTTTGTCGGTTTCCCGAGCTTTTTCGACCTTTTGTGTTTTCGGCCTTTTGTGATTCGGCCTTTCATGATTCGGCCTTCTGTGATTCGGTCTTTTGTGTATTTCGGCCTTTTGTGTATTTCGCCTTTTGTGTATTTCGGCCTTTTGTGTATTTCGGCCTTTTGTTATTCGGCCTTCTGTGATTCGGCCTTTTGTAGTACTCCCCTATTTTATACCTGCAGATACTTGAAGTACCAACGTATTGTCCAGTAAATAACCAGCCATATATATGATACGTTTGATTATATTGTATCAATCACTTTTTGTTCTTACTAATTACGCAGAGGGTCAGATTTTTTTTATTTTTTAAACTATGTTAAATGTATGAACCTAAACGGGTGGTGGAAGTATCGGGAATGCAGAATTTTTGTTTTAATGTTATTCTAGAGCGTGAATGCACTTGGCTAGAAAGTTGAACATGACACAAGGCCAGCACAAGGCTCTGGCTACACACTAAGTTAGTCAATAAGGTTTTACTGAGCTTCTGAATTCGGTAAAAGTTTTAAAATATGTGGAAAATTCAACAATGAGAAAATTTATTCCGAACTTGTACATACTTAGTTCTTTTAACCCCATGTAATGATAGAAAAAAAAAATTTGTCAATTTTATAAATTCCTTGCGGATAACGGCCATTTGAATTTTCACCGACTTTTTCAGCAATTCAAAAACCAAGTAAAAAATACTGACTCCTGTTAAATAATCTAAATCACAAGAACCTGCAGACGCTGTGCTGCACAAAACTAACCTGGTTACAGCATCAGATTTGACGATTTCCAATTTACTAAAGATTCATGATTTCATCCTTAGGAAAAATTCTTGTTGAACTGTGTTATTGACCATAATGTTTCTCAATACAGGGCTGGAAAAATTGAAGAGGCACTCACCTTTGCGCAGACACAGATTTCCGAAGCAGGCGAAAGTAACCCGGAGGTGTTGAACGAGTTGGAGCGAACTCTTGCACTGTTGGCTTTCGAGAAGCCCCAAAACAGCCCATTTGCCGATCTACTCGATCAAACGCACCGACAGAAGGTGGCCAGTGAACTTAACGCAGCTATCCTCAAGATGGAACACCAGGAACAGTCGAGTCCACGGATGATTAACGTGCTTAAGCTGATCCTTTGGGCTCAAGCCGAACTTGACAAGAAGAATGTGAAGTATCCGAAAATGATCGATCTAGCGACGGCTACTATTGATCCTAAATAAAGACGGCGAAAAAAGGAATTAATATATATACATACTTATGTGTAACAATACTGAACAGTCGTGCTTTTTTTCTTCAAACCTTGGATTAGATGAAGGTCATTTGATTATTTGTGGAAAAATCAAAGGCCTTTGCAAGTAAAATAATACATGATAGATCAGTGAAATTCTTTCTGTACAGGGAGGTAGTGTTTTTGTCTATTTAGATCATTGAATTATAGGTTTGTTTTAGTTGTATATTTATCTCAAATGAAACCTGATCATGATGATAAAGGTTAATTAGATTGTAATGTTTTCATTTGTCCCCTTTGCTGCTGCCAAGTAGCGCCCAACACTCTAATGAAGAAAGTACGACTGTCTCAACTAATGCAGATACACTTGTCAATGAAAAAAGAAATGCAAAATATACAATAAGGACATTTTTCGGGTTTCAATGTTTATTTTTCTTCTATTTTACTAAAATCCTGCAACTTTAATTACCGAACGACGAATATTTACTGAAAATTTTGACAGCTTAAACATGCTTCTTATGGCCGATTTCTTCCACTCTGCTCAAGCCTTAAATCAGTTTTAACCATAGAGATTGCTAAAGTGTGATTGTGTCAGTGATTTGTTATCATCGGGAAAATTTTTCGCTATGAAGTTTTTTTTCCGATGAAAACATTTTGCGTATACGTGTGCGTACGAAAAACGTCAGTAATCTCTATAGAGATTGCTAAAGTGTGATTGTGTCAGTGATTTGTTTTCATCTGGAAAATTTTTCACTATGAAGTTTTTTTTTCCCGATGAAAACATTTGCGTATACGTATACGTAACGTAGTGTGCATACGATAAACGTCAGCAAGCTCTATATGGGTAAACCTGATTTAATACTACACACTTAGATTTTTTTGCCGAGATGGGCACCACCGAGCAGCTCGGCATTTTATTTTGCTGGATCTCAGTGAAAAACTTGCCGAGATTCAGCTAACAAACGGGAATTTTGCCGAGATCTCAGCTAACAAACATATTTTTTGCTGAATTTCCAGCAAAATAAAATGCCGAGCTGCTCGGTGGTGCCCATCTCGGCAAAAAATCTAAGTGTGTACACATACATTGCCAAAATTGACCTCAAACGCCGATTTCACAAAAATAAAAGACACACAAACTAACAACAGGTACGTAGGGCACTGAGCCTGAGCTAGTTATTGAGGCCTATTCTGTGCCGCGAGTGAGGCGATAAGTCACCCAAGTGAGGTGACTCTCCATTTGATTTGCACGGAGAGTCACCTCACTCGCGGTGACTTTTATCACCTCACTCGTGACAGTGAGTCACTTTACCTCAATCGCAGCGCAGAATAGACCTCAATATTTTTATCTGAATTATTGTTTACAAAGGCGGTTTAACTCTAATGAAATGTTGATAACGAATTGTCTACTAGTGAAACTTTACGGTACTTTTTTTCGAAGAAAGAATTTTTCGAGAAAAATATTTTTTTTCGAAAAATAATACCATAAATACCACGCACCCTAATTTCGCGCAGTTTTGCAGGTTTTCATTGATAATGTTGAGCTTTGCTCTTCTTTTGCTTTAAAAGGTCGTTTTGAAAAATCCCTAAATAAAAGCTGTCAATTCGTAAACAAGATCCTAGGGACCGTCCATAAAAGGCGTGGCATATGTATGACCAATTTTAGACCTCCCCTTCTCCCCTCGTAGCGTATTTTACAATACATAATACATGGCCAATCCCAACTTCTGCAGACCTCTACCCGCTAAAATGCTACGTCATTTATGGATCGTCTCCTTGGGCTTCTACCAGTTTCCTCTACATGTATTATTACGCCGGAAAAGATCATCTCGTTCATCTGTTTTCCAACAGAAGTTTATACCTACTTATTTTGGAAGCTACTTTGACTACATACGAAAGCTTCTTCCAACACCCCTCGGAAGACTCATCAAACTTCATTTGGAAGTTTTGTATGGCTTCCCCCTTTAGGGTGTCTCCCGACTTCACCGGATTTGTTTTTCTTGTCAAATACTAGGCGTGCTGAACGGGAGCGCAGGCTCCCTTAATTACCTTACCAATCAACCTAAGGCCTTGTTGTCCTCTGCTACCCGAAGAAGTCGTCTCCACTCTACTCGATCCATGGCCACACTTCGCCAGCCTCGTAGTCTGCGAAGGGTCCGCAGGTCGCCTTCTACTTGGTCGACCCACCTTGCCCGCTGCGCGCCTCTTGTTCTTGTTCCTGTTGGGTGGCTTTTCCAGAACCATTTTCACTGGGTCGTCGTGTTGCATTCTTACGACGGCCCAGCCCACCGTAGTCGCCCAATTTTTGCAATGTGGACGATGGATGGTTCTCCCAGCAGCTGGTGCAATTCGTGGTTCTTTCGGCTCCTCTACGTTCCGTGATCCATCTGCACTCTACCGTAGAACTCATCGACCTCCACGATTTCGTCACCGTCAATCTGAACTCGGGATGGGAGGCTAACATTGTCTTCCCTAGAACCTCTTCAGACCCGCCATCGTCTCAAAGCTCCGTGCCATGATGTCGATTTCGTCGGCGAAGCCAAGAAGCTGGATGGACTTCCTGACGATCGTGCCACTCGTATTCCAGCTCTTCTGATCACACCTTCTAACGCGATGTTGAATAGCAGACACGAAAGTTCATCACCTTGCCATAACCCCCTTCGAGAGTTTTTCACGATACTCGAACAACGCACATCACGCGATCTATCGTCGCCTTGACCAATCGCGTCAGTTTACCCGCAAATCCGTAGTTGTGCATAATCTGCCATAGCTGATCTCGATCGAATGTGTCGTATGCGGATTAGAAATCGATGAACAAATAATGTGTGAGCACGTTGTATTCGCGGCATTTCTGCAGAACCTGCCGAATCGCGAAAATTTGGTCCGTGGTAGTGCGGGCACCCATGAATCTCACCTGGTATTGCCCCACGAACTCTCTTGCAAATGGTGACAGGCGGCGGCATAGAATTTGGTCTATATCGCTCCACATTCAATCTCGTGCAGTGTTGCACCATTCTCGCCCGTGCTCAGGCATACCAAAAGTACCGCCTTATGACAGTATTCCAACGGCTTTCGCATTCTTTTTTCTACGACAGCCTTGAGATTGAGCTATAAGCGACAGCCCACAGTGAGGCTGTTATACGACATGCAACGTTGCCGTCTTGTGCAGTACACGACAGCTCGTTCTTAGTCATGTATTTTGTTCGTTCGGCTATGAAAGCCTCGGATGGTCATTCGTAACGTTCCTCGTACATACAGCCAGCAGTCCGTCAAACTGCCGATTTGTTGCTGCTGTCTTTGAAATTTTGTTTGTATGTCGTAAGACTGCTACTACACTACCAGTGTGGCGCCGGAGCTCGTTCGGTTGCTATCACGTTCGTGCTGCCCATTACAAAATTTTCATTCGATATTTTTTTTTAAACGCGTGGTCTCCGGCGAAAAATATAAGCCTACCCGACACCAACCTGTGCCGGCGCCGGTGGTGTAGTGGTAAGCGTGACTGCTTTCTAACACCCCGATGGGTCTGGGTTCAATCCCAGCCGAGGTCGGTGGGATTTTTCTGAGGCATAAAAATCTCTGGTCACGTAAAGCCGTTGGTCCCGGCCCATGTGTGTTTGAATGGGTGCGATATCCTACGCAGGTGTGGAAGCTGCCTTCCTGCACATTGACGGCAATCGATGTCCGTCGGTGATTCGCACTAGATTGCGGAACAGAGACCGACGTTTAATAAAGGAAAGAAAGACACCAACCTGATTTTTACCAAACCCCAACCCGATGTTGGCCCGACATTGACCCGACATAAACACATAATTTACCCGACATCGACCCGACATTTGGCCGACGTTGACCATCAATTGACCTTACATTGATCCGACATCGGGCCGACATATCTGTTCGGGATCATTATTCTGGGTTTCTTCCATACTCCATTGCCGTACATCAATCGTATATAATGTCTCGTGACAGCCTTTTCGTGACAGCCTTTTCGTGACAGCCTTTTCGTGACAGCCACTTGGGTAAGCTGAGGGATGTCGTCGGTTTGTGAAGGCTGGTATGACGACAGAAACATTGAGAACCTGGGTCATAAAGAAATGTATAAATACAGCCCATTCGGTTCACTACGTTCCAAGCACGATGATTTTAGCAAATCGGGTATAGATGCGACTGTTCTAATACAGCTTTCATTCTTTCGTGCGTGCACTATTGCCAATACACTTAGAATTCAGATCTGAACGTACGGTAGCAAGCGGTAGTAAAGCACACAAAGCAACAGTCAATTCATGTATAAACCAACTGTCGCGAGGCTGTACTATTTGGAAGCCTGCCCGTGCTGCATTCTTCTCCTCTAATAACAGTTTGCATTCGCCGTCAAACCAGTCATTTCTTCGGTCCGGGATCGCAGTACTGGCGTGGCATTATGTTACTGTGTTGTGTTCTCAAAGTTCTATGCAAAGTTATCCTCAACCGGATACAGGAGAAGATCGACGCGACTCTCCGACGGCAGCAGGCGGGATTCCGTGCTGGAAGATCCTGTGTGGACCATATTGTCTCGCTCCGCATAATCTTGGAGCAGGTCAACGAATTCCAAGAGTCCCTTTACTTGGTTTTCATTGACTACGAAAAAGCTTTCGACCGACTCAACCACGAAAACCTGTGGGGCGCCCTAAGGCGCAAGGGAGTTCCGGATAAAATCGTCAACCTCATCGAAGCTCAGTATGAGGCTTTCACGTGCAGGGTGCTGCACAACGGAGCCCTATCTGACCCTATTCGGGTAGTCGCTGGAGTGAGGCAAGGATGTATTCTATCACCGCTACTGTTCCTCATCGTAATCGACGAGATAATGGTTGGTGCGATCGACCGTGTGCCGAACCGTGGGTTGCTCTGGCAGCCTATTACAATGGAGCATCTAAACGACCTAGATTTGGCGGATGACGTTGCTTTAGTATCACAACGGCGTTCTGACATGCAGAGTAAGCTCGACGATCTCGCCGAACGCTCCTCAGCGGCAGGTCTCAACATCAACGTCAGCAAGACTAAATCGTTGGATATCAACACGGGAAATCCATCCAATTTTACGGTAGCTGGTCAGGAAGTGGAGAAGGTTGAAAGTTTCCAATATCTTGGCAGCCAGATAGCGTCGGACGGCGGAACCAAGAGTGACATAGGTGCACGGATCAAGAAGGCAAGGGCTGCTTTTGCGAGTTTACGAAACATCTGGAAGTCAAATCAGATTAGTCTCCGCACGAAGATCCGAATTTTCAACTCTAACGTGAAATCTGTACTGCTGTACGCTAGCGAAACATGGTGCGTATCAGCGGAGATCACACAGAAGCTGCAGGTGTTCATCAACCGATGCCTGCGGTATATAATTCGTGCTTGGTGGCCTCACAACTGGATTTCGAATGCCGAGCTCCATCGACGGTGTCACCAGAAGCCGATATCGACAGAAATTCGGGAACGTAAGTGGAGGTGGGTTGGCCACACTCTACGGAAGAGCGGAAATGAAATCTGCAAACAAGCGCTGGATTGGAATCCAGCCGGACATCGCAGCAGAGGCAGACCCAGGGGCTCATGGCGGCGAAGCCTAAACAAGGAGATTAAGCAAGTCGACCGGAATTTGACCTGGGCCCAGGTCAAGGCGAAAGCAAACAATCGCCCAGGATGGAGATCTTTCACGTTGGCCCTTTGCGCCAGGGATGGCGCTCAGGACACTTAAGTAAGGGATCGCAGTACCTACACACTTAATCATGGCTTCTCTGTTCGGTTAATCTTTTTTACATATATACCGAACATTCAGCTACTTTCAATAAAACCGCTGATGTTCAATAGCTTTAGCGACAAACTACTGAATACTGTAATAGCATGTACTGAATTTTCCGTAAAATGACAGCTTTACGGTGAATGACTAAAACTCAGTAAAATAGAGTACCGAGCTTACAGTATGCATTATGTGTTACTGAACAATCATCGAACGAAATTCCATAATTGCTGATCTCACCCGTAAGTCAACTTGCTTATTGTCGCGCTTATGTTAAATTCTCATTTGGTGACGGTCGAAGCGCGCCGCTCTTAAGTGCGATGCAACCCGCCCATAAGGATTCTACACAGGTGTGTAACTTAGTTTTTTATGGCAGCGGCTTGAGGAGCGAATCCTGGATAAAGAACCGCCGTGTGTTAAATAGGCAACATGTTATACCGTGACAGCGGGCCCAGCACAGCAAAATAAACGATTTGAGCCCGGGACATGCTACCTACTGTCAAACGCTGCTGTTGGTATAGGCCTTGTCAGTGGCGTGATGGGCGCAGTCATACGGCCATAAACAGAGAACAGATGGTATAATTCCTTTTTGAGAAATAATCCTGCCACACACAATATTACCGGTACTAGAGACGGTCTGGTATAAGAGGGGAGCGGACTGGCTGGTTTTGAGCCAAACGAGCTGTCAAAGCCAGAGCCAATCGAACAGCGCCTATCTTGATTGCATTGGCAGTGTTGCTAGAAACCACCCAGGCATAGGTTGCCAAGGCAGTTTGTTTTGAATCCGCTCCTCTTTTATAGGGTGATACGGTCAAAATTTGGTCAATATCAACTTGACGTATTTCATTCAATTTTGAATTTAAAAAACCTGAACACCCCTCATTTTAAAGGTGTGTGTGTGTAGAATGTTGCTCCTATTTTGATTTTGGAATTCACTCTTGAGTTGTCAAAATGCCGTCCAAGCAAGAAGAGCAGCGTATCAAAATTTTGCTCGCGCATCGCGAAAATCCGAGCTACTCGCACGCAAAGTTGGCAAAATCGCTAAAAGTTGCCAAATCAACCGTTACAAATGTAATTAAAGTGTTTGGGGAACGTTTGTCGACAGCCAGGAAGTCTGGATCGGGGGGAAATCGAAAACCGGAAGCCGCTGAGACGACAAAGAGAGTTGTCGGTAGTTTCAAGCGAAACCCTAACCTCTCTCTCCGAGATGCCGCAAATAAGCTGGGTGTATCGTCTACAACCGTGCATCGAGCCAAAAAACGAGCCGGACTATCGACTTACAAGAAGGTAGTGACTCCAAATCGCGATGATAAACAAAATACGACGGCCAAAGCGCGATCCCGGAGGCTGTACACGACGATGCTGACGAAGTTTGACTGCGTGGTAATGGACGACGAAACCTACGTCAAAGCCGACTACAAGCAGCTTCCGGGACAGGAGTTTTATACGGCAAAAGGAAGGGGAAAGGTAGTAGATGTTTTCAAGCACATGAAACTGTCAAAGTTCGCAAAGAAATATCTGGTTTGGCAAGCCATCTGTACCTGTGGCTTGAAAAGCAGCATTTTCATAGCTTCCGGGACTGTCAACCAAGAAATTTACGTGAAAGAGTGTTTGAATAAACGTCTGCTGCCTTTCCTGAAGAAACACGGTTGTTCCGTACTGTTTTGGCCGGATTTGGCATCTTGCCATTACGGTAAAAAGGCCATGGAGTGGTACGCCGCCAACAACGTGCAGGTGGTTCCCAAGGACAAGAACCCTTGCAACACGCCAGAGCTCCGCCCAATTGAGAAATACTGGGCTATTGTCAAGCGGAACCTAAAGAAGACCAAAAAAACTGCTAAGGGCGAGCAGCAGTTCAAGGCAAACTGGCTTTCTGCGACGAAGAAGGTGGACAAGGTGGCTGTACAAAATCTGAGGGCAGGGGTCAAGCGTAAGGCCCGGCAATTCGGATTTGGAAAAGCGGAAGCCTAACTGAATATTTTTCCTGAATTTTATACTAATTGAACTTGAAAAAGAAATTTAATTTGATTTTTTAAATAAACGATTTCACCGATTTACACGCGTTTTCCCTTGACCAAATTTTGACCGTATCACCCTTTATATGACCCCGTAGGATTGAATCGGTTAAATGACAGATGTATCAATCCACTGAATTTGGATTGTTTTTCATAACCGGGAATTAAAAAATTGCATTTGATGGACACCTTGGATACGCCACATGACGGAATTTGGTTCAAGCTAGATACCCTCTCTAGTTCAAGCCAGGTCCAGGAGAAAACAACCCACCAATTTTGCCCGGATTGTTTGTTTCCAACTGTCACGCCTTTTTTCTGTTATGTTATTGAAATGATGTGTAGCCGCAAAATCCGCCGCACGCAGAAAACTAAATGCTTTCAGTAAAAGGAATTTCTCAACTTTGTCTGCGAAGGCACGGTGAGATTACTATTGTGTAACCTTTATCAACATTATCCATAGAAGTGCGTACAAAACAATTGCCTTACATCGTTATCATCTAACTACAAACACACATACAACCAACCAATTATTGTTACCATGAGTTGTCAGTGATTTGTCCATAGTGATATCGTACAGATGTTGTTTATCCTTTTGCATCTGTTACCAACCAAAAAAGAGATCCATGGCTTTATTCACAAGCCCAGAACTTCGTTTCGGTGCCGTTGGACTCGGTACCACATCAGTCGGGTGCTGGGCATTTTTGTATGCTATGTGAGTCAACGACCTCACGCGACTCAAGGAATACCTAAAGAAGTAGAGCAATGGAAATCCATCATTGAAGACAAATGAACAATAAATTTTTGAAACTTACTCTTTTCGTTCATCGCAGTTTTCCTTCCCCACAATCGACGGGTCATTGCAATACTGTACTCCAATCATCAGGTTATGCCCGAGTACCTTACCATTGTAGTTTAGAGCTTTATCGCATTCGAGTCGAGAGGTGAATCTGAGATGTACCCAGTTCCCGTTCTGTGTGGCAAATACCTTCTCGATTATCGCCCCACACTGAGAAAAGTGTGACAAAATCATGGACGACGCGGATTGTGGAAAACCGAACACGGTAATCCAGCGATCATTCCCCTGTGGAACGGAATGCGATAGGTTCATGTACGATTGTGACATTAAGGATGCATTGCGAGTAAAATCCTGTTCCCGTGCCATCGGAATCGGGGACATCACCCTCGACACGTTGAAACCGCTTTGGTTCAGGTAGGAATCATTTCCCGACTGCTGGAATCCCGGAGCCGGTGGGGCACCTTGTCCTGTGGTTGTGTTTTTGCTTGGTGTCTGGAAGATCTGCTGGTCATTTCTGAGTGAATCGAATAATCCCACTGTCGGTGGCCCTGTGACACTTGAATTGTGATTAGCACTAGACTGGTTAAGACTGGTTCCGCCTAGAGAGAATTTTTGTGGCAATCCGGTGGGTCTTCCGCCGTAGTCAAAAGTCTGTCCGACTAGCGGTCCTCCTACGGGAGATTGGGTGAAGGCCAATGATGTTCTGCCTTTGGTTGGCGACAGGGTATTGGTTCGAGGAGTTGTCGGTGCGTCACCCATAAGGAACGACGGTAAATAATTGCTCGATGAAGGCAGTGGACTTCCGCTCGGACTGCCTAAAGCCATTGGTTCCATTGTTGTTTGCTGAAACGACCGTGTAGGTTATCTTCAGAGAAGCCATTGAGTTTTGCATTAACCTTCTTACCTGTGTTTTTGGAATCCTTCGCTTGGTTTAATGCAGGATAAAGTTCCTATGTCATTAGCCGGTGAAATTTCTAAAAACCTTATTTTTGCCGCCAGATATATCTAAATGGAAATTCAATCTTTCCGAACGGATGAGCTGCTAAAACAACCGCACACAAAAATCTGTTTGACAGTTTAAAAAAAACTTGCGCGATTTTCGCTGAGTTTTCTTTTCTCAATGAGCAAGGTTCCATTGAACTAGAAGGTGTACGTACTATTTCAAAATCAATTATAGTAGCGTACCCTATCTCTCGTTTCCGGCGATCAGGTGCAGAAACTTCTGTTTATAAGAATGCTGACTGGCAACACTGATGTTCAGCTGATCATTCTGTTCTGTCAAAAAGTATTATTTTTGTTTCCTTCTCTTGTGTTTGGTTGGCTCAGTGCTGTTATCATTAAATTCTTGTACTTGTTATCAGTTGAAGTAGCTAGCCGTTGAAAAACATAATTTTTAGTTTGTTCAACATTCTGTGTCGAAAAAAATGACGGATGATGTGAAAAGGTTTTTTCACAATATGCTGCAACGGTGAGTTTTCCACATAGCCTCTTGTGATTCTTGTCCGGGAGATGGTTTTTTGTCTGCCGTATGAGGCTTCGAAAAACAATGACCTCTAATATCCCAAATGATAATCGCTCATAAGCTAGAGTGCCTGAAGCCTAGATAGTCTGGGGTAACTGAATATTCCAGTGCAATATAGAATATGGTTTGTAGGCTGAACCATTATTTCTTCTTGACTTCGACATGACACTCTTATAGTGTATTCACTCTTTATTTATCAAACAATTAAAACCAAAATAGTCGTTCCATATCCAGACATACGTATTAAAATGCTCTTACAACTCGTCGACGGTTTTCAGGGTCAACGGCTTACACTGCGTCATGGTGACCGATCGGGATGGGGTGCCTCTTATCAAGCTGGAAAAGGAAAAATCCACGGAAATTGTGATGAAACCGCCATTTTTGTCTACATTTACCCTCGCGGCCGAACAGTCTAACAAACTTGGGCTCGGGAGGAACCGTAACATCATCTCCGTGTACGCCGACTATCAAGTGGTGCAGATGAATAAACTTCCCCTCGTGGTGACATTCATCGGAGCACAAAACTGCAACATTGGTCACATATTAGCAATGGACCAACAAATCGACACGATGCTGGAGGAACTCAAAACGGCCGTCACCGATTCGTGAATGAAGGAATTTTCTCTCAATGAATCACTCTATGTAAGTAAAAAATTATAAGCTCTTCATTAAACCCTACTTTCTTAAGTGTAGATCTTAAAATTGATATAAAAATCGTCACCTTAATCATAAAAAAAAGAATTGGAAGAAATCCTTTGACGTGAAATTTCTACTTAAATGCTCTGCAGTCGCTTGCGTTCCTCTTCGGCAATAATTTTATCCAGCGCCTTTTCCAATTGCTGCGTTGTTCGGGCCAGTTCCGTATTATCGCTGTAGGAGTCGTCCACTATTTCACGAACTTTCAGCAAAAGATCCTTAAAGTTGCCCATCTGAGTGTCGATTTTGAGATTATCTATGCAGCGGGTTAGCTCATCAACAGTAGCAGCAGTGTCTGTGTTAAGATGCACTTTCAAAGCCACGTCAGCTTCCATCTGCTCTAGTATGGTTTCGGACGGTTTATTCAGATGGAACCACGAACTGATGTCACGAACGGAGAGTTCCGGTTGGAGTTGGTCGTTCACATAGGATTTGTTCAATTCTGCTCCATGAACTGAAAATGTAAAACAAAAATAATACACCGTGTCAGGTTCCTTCCAAATTGGGACTGCGCTACGTTACCCCGAACGCCATCACCCGAATGTTTGAAGCAATCAGCAGCAATCAGAGAAGGCAGAATATTATTCGGAGTAGTGGCGTTATGGGGGAAGTGACAAATTGAACATTTCATGGGACGGGTACTCACTAGTTTTATCCAACGCACTGGCCATGGCCAGCGAAACACGTTTGGCGCTTCCACTGTTGGTCGAACGGTACGGAGTGCTGGAACTTTGAGGAAAACCACGGCTAACCTTAGAGCACACTTCCTTCAATGCTTTCAATTGCTCGGTTACCAATTTACCATGAGCTTCGAAATACTCGATTTGCCCTTTGTCAACGGTGCCATTGGTTTTCAAATTTGCCAACTTTAGACGATACTTTTCGAAATCATCTTCGAAAATATCCATTATCGAAGTTAGTTTATCAACTAACGCTTGACTGTGCGTGCTCGTAAACAGTTGGCAATCAATGTTGCTAAAAATACTGATGTTTTTGCTGGAAGATTTCCTGAGCGAAGCACAACTGGAAGAGTTCAGTGAACGTGAAAGCGTTCCACGGAGAGTGCTACTAGCAGCTGGTGGTTGTTCGACTTCTTGCAGTTCGACAGCATTGGTATCAATCAACTTCGCCTCCATATTGTCAAACGTGGATGGTTGCTGCCGATGAGACTGAGTACTTGGCGAACGACTAAACATATTGCAAAGCTTGAGCATTAAAGTTGATATTTTGTTGGTAGACATTTCCTGTAACAATAGAATTATACAATACATACTTCTGAACTATCTGTTCAACTATAGTTGATACTTACATTTGCACTGATCTCGTACATTTTATGACCAACATTGTGGCTTTTACTGGAGTATGCTTGGCTGAAGCAATCGATGCATAAAGACAGGTTACGACATTTCTGGCACTTAAAGCGAAGTCCTTGGATTGCTTCCCGACAAGCACCACATTGTACGTTGTGTACTATAAATTCCGAATCCTTCAGTCGCTTTGCAAGGGCTAATACGTTTGAATAATAGGAAAACTTCGATGACAACTTCCACAGGCAGGTAAACTGGTACTCCGTTAGACCTACCAAGCCAGGATAGTTCACGAAACATTCATTCACGATCTCCTGCACCAGCTTCGATTTCAAATGATCCGGTTCTCCCAGAAACGATAACAATTTAGCCAGATTCATCAACATCGCTTCGAAACGATGTCTTGATACACAGAGATTGTGATCACTCGTCAGTTGAAAGTGTTCCCATACGACCTGTTCAAAATTTTGCGTCTCACACAGCAACAGGAATGTCTGTTTCAACTCGAGAATGGATAATGGATTACACCTTTTTGGATCGTAAACTGCCCAGAATAATCCTGCCAGTGTAGCGATCAACGTTTCGCGATCAGGTTGTTGTAGGAGATCAGCGAAACATCCCAGTTGTTCCGCAGCAAAGTATACATCATGTAGCACCGCAGTTAGTTGGATCGGCTTGATAGAGGGAGCGCTATCAATCTGGCTGAGGCGATGACGCTCAAGTATAGTGCACACCGATTGGAATGGAATGTAACACGCTGTAATGACAATAAAATGTAAGAGTTCACGAATGCTTAAGCTTAATTTTCAATGGAATTTGCTGAACAAAATTAAAGAATTTCTAAATAGTTTTGAAACACCCGTTATTAATCCCATTATTCATTTTGCCTTGAGTACATTTTGAGACCCAGCTCTACAAGGAAATTATTCCGGATAATACACTTAACCAAAAGCTAATTCGCGGGCGGATTCCTCCAGTGGGAAATCGGAAAAGCAGCGCTTTCACCTCCAAAATTATGTACGTTAATTCCATCTAAATTGCAATAGCAGCAACATTACAATACTAAAACATCACTGAGAAGCTAATTTTTTCGAGCTAACCAGGTTTCCTATGAAGACCTAGAATACTCAATAAAGCCACTGTATACTGTCAAGGCAATGCTTGTCTACGTATATTTGAATCATTATTCACTTTACTACAAGCAATAAAAAAACAATCCTCCCAAGCAATACCATCAACAATCAATACGAAACTAAAGATTTTAAATTGGCTCACTACTTGACTAGCCTATTAATTGGTCCCAAGCAAACGATTAATGTACCCCATTCTAGTCAAAATTCTAGTACTACACAATGTTTGTTTTGATTCGCTATGAAAGTTTGACAGATAAAATGAGGGGTTAGTGGATTGTCCTATGTTTCGAGGGGTGAATCGATTAGCTTGGGACCGAAGATAGTACCAGAGCTGAGCCAAAAAGTTGAGCACGTTTCTTCGGGACCTACTAGTCTTAGAGTTACCTCTATGATACCATTGTCCTAGTTTCAGTCATTTAGTTAGTTCTCTGAGCTGATCAAGCTGTTAAGAGCACAATAAGGAACAATAACTATAAGTATTCAGAAAAAAATCATCATCTTCTCTTTAAGCTGGGTTTAGACAAGGCAAGTAAATTGATCAACTCAGTTGAAACCATGCCATTCAACTGACTTGATCAACTCACTCGAATTGAAGAAAATTGAACCACCAACTCTTCAAGCCAATTGTATTCAACTGAGTTGATTAATTACTTGCCTTGTCTAAACCCAGCTTAACGTTTTACCATTCTTGCATTTACTCAAAGGCAAGGGATTGATTTTTGTAGGACACAACTGGATCGAGCAGACGCACCGCATCACTCGAAGGTTAAAGTTTGTCAGACGCAATTAGATGTAACATCTATTAAGAGATGCACATTAGGGTGTTTCATTTTGAAAAAAGTGATGAATTTTTGATAGGCCACCCTCCAGTTCGATTCATAGCCCCAAAATATGAACCTGTGCAAAAAATGGTAAAGATTGATGAAGGTTTAGAGGTCGCGCCAATGATTTGGATTTTGTATGGAGATTTTGGTGAATTAGTATGGGAAATTATTGATTTTCGTTTACATTGCTCTAACTTTGGTTGTAGTTGTCCAAACGTTGAAAAAAAAAAAATATGTGGTTGTCATGACAATGATCAACAAGCCTGTTGTTGTTGCGATGAAATTGGCGTTGTTGCCTTGTACATATTCATCTGTCAATTTACCCTATTTTGCCATTTTTTCACATTTTTATAATTCTTGATACGCTGCAAAACTGAGCGTAGCAACTGTAGGCTTTTTGTTTATTGCCATAGCAATAACATACTAAATTTTTTCGACATTTGGACAAGTAGAAGCAAAGTTATAGCGATATAAGCGATTTTTTAAATTCTTCCATAGTAATTCCCATACAAATTTCAAATCATTGGCGCGACCTCTAAACCTTCATCAATCTTTACCAATTTTTGCACAGGTTCATATTTTGGGGCTATGAATCGAACTGGAGGGTGGCCCATCAGAAATTCATCACTTTTTTCAGAATGAAGCACCCTAATGCACATACCTCATACCCATTAGCAACTTAAATTTTGCAACAACTAACAGCGTCTAGCGTCTACGCAAATGGATTTTTATTTCAGTTCAACTCAGGAATGTGACAACACCCAGTGGGAGCTAAATTTATAATAGGCTCAAAATCATCGAAAAACTCTTTTATTTGACTAACCTCTCCTCAACTTGCAACAATGCAACATCAAGCATTGAACAACCACAAGTTCACAGCTATATTTAAAATTTGAAATGAAAAACTATCTTCAAACGACACCGAGTAATTTAATTGTTTTAAACTAGCGAAGACATTCATACTTATTAATAAGTTTCTGTTATAGAGAAATATTTCCCTGATATTCCCATGTAAACTTCAAATGGTTTGTGCCAACCCTAATAAAAAAACATACTTGAACGATAACCGGAATGGTAGAACTATTCCACAAATGGTTTGGACGATACCCTGAACACGTCATTAAGCAAAATAACCATACAAATTCTATTGGGTCATTTTCCTGATAGGTGGAAGATACAGAAGCTAGTGTTCAAGAAGCTCTTGAAACCAGAAAAAACACCGGGGGATCCAGCATCGTATGTGCCTGCTGGATACACTCGAAAAACTCTTGGAGAGGATCATTCTAAACAGGCTGACGAAATACACGGAGAGTGAGCACGGATTGTCGGAGAGGCAGTTCGGAATCCGGAAAGGGAGATAAACGGTGGATGCAATTCGGACAGTGGTCGAGAGAGCTGAGAAGGCGTCCAAACAGAAGCGGAGAGGAGATCGATATTGCGCCGCGATAAGGATCGACGTCAAGAAAGCGTTCAACAGCGCCAGCTGGGAGGCCATCGCCAAAGCGCTGCATAGAATGAGAGTCCCTGACTACCTGTGCAGGATCCTGAGGAGTTATTTCCACAACCGGATTCTGGTCTACGAGACAGACATGGGACAGAGATCGATTAGGATCACAGCGGGAGTTCCACAAGGCTCCATCCTTGGTCCATCGCTCTGGAACAGGATGTACAACGGTGTGCTAACGCTGAAGCTGGCCAAAGGTGTGGAGATCG